GGGGTTTAGTCTACTTCTGTATCCTTCTCTTCAAGGCTCAGGGGTCCAAGATTAACTTCTGTGTCTGTGTCAATTGGTTTCCCTTTTCTTTGTTGAAGAGGGTCTGTGCAGTCCTTTTTTCTAGTCTGCCATCTTCCCAGAACCCAACAATCTACATTTCAATCTTTCCTTCTACTTTCTCTTTTTAAATTTTTATTTATTAATTAAAAATAATCATGGTAAAATATAGGCACCATAAAATTTGTCCTTTGAACATTCTTTAAATTATGGTGAAACATTTTGCCATTTTAACCATTTTTAAGTGTGTAAATTCAGTGATACTAATTATATTCACAGTGTTGTATAACCATCACCGCTGTTTCCAAAACTTTTCTGTCACCCCAAACAGCTTTGTTCCTCATTCAGTACCTTCCCTGGAACCATCTGTACTCAGATCCGACTCATAGTGATCCCTCCTTGGGTTTCTGAGACAGTATCACTACAGAAGTAGATTGCCCCATCTTCCTTCCCAGGAGTGGCTAGTGCCAGTCTTCTGGTTAGCAGTCAAATGCCTTAGGCACTACGCCACCAAAGCTCCTTTAAGTGTACAAAATTCAGTGATACTAATTATATTCACAGTGTTGTATAACCATCACCACTGTTTCCAGAACTTTGCTATCACCCCAAACAGCTTTGTTCTTCATTCAGTACCTTCCCTTGAACCACGTGAACTCCAGTTCTCGCAGAAGTCCTGTATTACTACTGTGCTTCTAAAACGTACTTTTCAGATTCTTTTTTTTGGGGCAGGTAACTTTTCTAGAAGAGTGTAGTGAGGTCACTTCTTAGCATCTTCTTAATGACATGTGTTTTTGAAACCAGCCCTAACTGAAGTTTGGCACTTTGTCTTCTGTGGGCTGTAAGATTGTTGGTCAGCAGGCCCTGGTCCTTAGAAGGAGAAAGCCCCCATATCAGGCAAGCCTTTGCCCTTGATTCTGCTCTCCCCACCCTTTAACTCAATGTTGTGAGCCTAGAGGAAGGTGGGACGCTGTGGACAAGACTCAGCTCCTTTTGGAGGGCTAGGAAAAGGAAATGATGACCACAGAAAAGTACCTGTTGATTGGAGGCTGTAGGGGAGGCAGCATGCTCAGGCCAGAGGGACGGAATTCCTAGTAAAGCCCCAAAGATGACTGGGAAAAAGATAAAATTTTAGTTATCACCATTGCAAAAGTATACATTTCCTTGTCTTACCCTGGAGAGGCAGAATTAGCTTTCTGATCCTGGACCTTAAATGTAGAGTTTCTAAGCATTGTGCCTACCTTTCTGAATTCTGAAGTGGAACATTTCTCCATGATGCTGTCTTAATAGGGAGGTTGAATATCAGAGCTCATGTGCTTTGTGTATCTTTTACTTCATCTTTTTTTTTTGTTTCTTTTTCAAATTGTAATTTGGGTAGAAGTTTACAGAGCAAAGTCATTTTCCATTCAACAGTTCATACACATTTTGTTTCATGACATTGATTGCAGTCCTCATAATGTAGCAGCTCTCTTCCCACTTCCTCCTTGTGGTTTACCTTTTCCCTGTGTCCTTCTTTCCTATGCATTCCTGCCCTCTGAGTTACCTCCTTGTGCAAATGCTGCCCTTCTGATCTCCCATGGTTGATTGTCCTAAAGGATGTACCTACCTTGTGTAACTGTTCACCTTGTAGGCCTGTCTGTTGTTTGGCTGGAAGCCATGGGAGTGAGTCCAGTTCTAGGCCTGAAGGGTGACTGGCGGCCATAGTTTCAAGGATTTCACCAGTCTCTATGAGACCAGTAAGCTTGGTCTTTGTTTATGATTTTGAATGTTGTTCCACATTTTTTCCCACTCTACCCAGGATCTCCTATACTGATTTTACTTCATCTTTACTTTTCCCCTGGGCACACACATGCAAAACACACCCCATCATGCTCATGTACATACCAGCAACATGGATCTAATAAAAAGGTTTGGGCTCCTTGCAGTGTTAATATATGATAACAGCTATCATTTGCTGAATTCACCATGCCAGGCAGTGTACCAGCCACTTTACATTTATTATTATCTCTTTTAAACTTCACTGTAACTCTGTGGGAGTCCCTGGGTGGCACAACAATTAAGTGCTCACTCCTGACTGAAAGGTTGGCAGTTCACATCCACCCAGAGGCTCTTTGGAAGACACACCTGGCAGTTTGTTTCTGAAAGGTCACAGCCTTGAAAACCCTATGGAGCAGTTCTACTCTGTACACCTGGGGTTGCCGTAAGTTGGCTTTGACAGCAGCTAAAAAAAAAACATAACCCCATGAGGGGCACATTATTTACAGATGGGAAAACTGAAGCTTAGAATGGTTAAGAAACTTTTTCAAGGTCCTATAGTTGTTAAGGGAGCTCTGGTAGCATAGTGGCTAAAGCACTTGACTGCTAACCAGAAGGCTGGCGGTTCAAACCCACCAGCCACTCCTCGGAAGGAAGGTTGGGCAATCCTACTTCCGTAGTGATACTGCCTCGGAAACCCAAGGAGGGGTCGCTATGAGTCGGGGCCGACTCGACGGCACATAACAACAACAACAACATAGTTGTTAAAGCTGAGAAACAAATCCAGACTAATAGAACCCAAAATTCACATCCATCACAACACACAGAGAGTAAGAGTGCACGTACATAAGTGCTCAAGAGAGATGCAGCAGAATTTACTTCCCTGCTTCCCTATTTAGAATTCCCTTGAAGACTGGAATGACCTTAATATGTCCTAGCTGACAAGCATAGGAAGGCAGCCTGGCATCTTATTCAGGGACTGGAGGCACAAAGACTAGATCAGCCATCTATTTATCACATCCAATAGTTAAGAGCATTGGGAGTGCACTGCATTGAATTTTGAGTATTTTAAAATATTCTTTTCACTTTTCAGTAAGTGACAACTCTTGTTTTTGGATGATCCTCATATTAAAAAGTTGTTGTTTCTTATTCTCAAACTTGATGTCAGTAAGTGCTTCGTTCCTTAGTATCTGACCTTTTAAACAGAAATTCATATGAGATTTATGGAGAGGGTTTCAGAACTCAGGCTGCCTTTCTTCTCTCTGCTCTCTGGTCTTTGCCAGGGCTTCACATGTGACTGTTTCTCTGCATCACTGTATCTTCAGTGATGATTTTACCCATGAATGTGAAGAGACCAAAATAAAGATAAAAGTGATGACTTTGAAAAGCATAATAAGTAAATTGCTACTCTTGTTTCAGGTTGGAGTTCAAGTTTTTACCAAGAGACCTTTGGATGAACAGCAGAAGAATAGTTTTAATCCGGATGATGTTATCAATTGCCTTAAAAAATATCCCAAAGCCCTTGTTAAATATCTGGAATATCTGGTTATAGACAGAAGACTGCAGGTGAGCACTTCAGAAACTTAGACCAAAGTGTAGGTTGTAATGTCACAATAGTCATTTAAGAGATGGAAATAGACTATAAACCCTTTGGGCAAGTGGCTCTCATTTATGTTTTATGTTCCATGGGAGCTCAGTCTCTACTTCTTGATGGTCTGAGGCAGGAGCTTGAGGCTTGGTGAGGGAGTTCCAAGGGAAAAAGTAGCTTTCTTTTCACCTCCATCTCATCTCCATTCAGCTTACATTTCTCTTCCCTCTTCTTTCTTCTTTGCTTTTACCCTTAAAGGAAGTGAGAGAAGCTGTATCTTTTTGTAGAGTACTTAAATCTAGTGGCCTTCTCAAAATGAAGAACATCATTTAAAAAGCCCCTTTATGTTTTTCCCAAAGATCTTTACTTCATTTTCTCTGTATTGTGATTTCGGAGAGGGTGTTGATGTTAATTGTCCTTGATAATTTGGCTCCATCGCCTATCAGCACAGCTCGCGCCTCTCTGAGCCCTGGCTGCTGGGTGTGATCCCCAGGCCTGCACACTTGTGATTGCTGTTTATCTGCTTGTATTCCCCCATTTTCTGCAGAAGGAAGAGTATCACACTCACCTAGCTCTTCTGTACCTGGAAGAGGTGCTGCAGCAGAGACCCAGCACCAATGACAAGTGTGCGGAAGTGACTGGGATGCAGGCAAAACTACGAAATCTGCTCCAGAAATCTGACTTATACAGAGTTCACTTTCTAATAGGTGAGAATCATGTCAATATTCTCTCCATTTACAAATGTCTGTCAAAGAAGATAAATAAGATAATAATAATTGTAAAGATAAATACTTGGGCATAGTCCCAAGGACCTCTTTGAACACACAACCTTTGTGGTGAGGTTCGGTAAAGCTTCTATGCTTCTGTCCTCTAGAAACAGACTGGACCCTTTAAACTGATGACATAAAAACTGTCTTGGTAGATGCTGGAAGTTTTTGGAGTATTTATTGGCCATACTTTCATTTAAACTTCTTTATTTAGGTGTTTTTATATGTTGTTTTTTTTTTTTTTTTAAATTGTGGTAAGCATATAGGTAACACAATACTTGGCATTTCAACAATATTCACAAGTATAGTTCAGTAGCAGTAACTTCTTTATTCAGTTTTGAAAGATTTATATCATAGTTTCTTTTGATAACTCCAGTATTTGATCAATGGCTTTTCCAGCTGGCCTCGCCTGCAGCTGCCTGCTCTTAGGCTACTTGAGGCTTGCATCTTTTAGACCCATAAGTTAAGGAAAGCAATGCAGATATCTTGGAGGTGATTCTGGTTTTTATTCCTTTTGGGGAATAGAGACTTCAATTTCCATATTGTGTGAAGTGCCACAAAGCTCACATTTACTTGTAATGGGTAGAATTAACTGGTCTCTTGGTATATTTGACAGCATAGATGTCCTGGACTTTTACCTACTAGGATTAGTAACATGTTTTTCTTTAACACCATTGATCACCTTTTTTTCTTTTCTTTTTTTGATTGCTAACTATATGCCAGGCATAGTTCAAAATGATTAGCATGAAGTATTATGATACTTAATTTCCACAAAAACCGTATGAAGTAAGTCCTGTTATTACTCTCTTTTTACAGGAGAGTAAATCAAACCTTAGAGAGGGTACTCACCAACCAGGCCATTGAACCAGGACATGAACCTGGATTTTGAGTATTTCACATGAATAGCATTTCCACCAGAGCTGACGTTCACCTGTGATGTTCTGCGCAGCCACGCTGGTCGCTCAGAGCTAGTGTCCGTTCTGATGAGTCAGTGCCTATGTTATACTGATTGTTAACTGTTTTTTAATATTACCTCTGGTTTATATCATACTATATGGTTTACAAATCCCTTTATAAAAATCTCTTGCTAGCCACAAATGTCTTGATCAGTGTCTTCACTCAGCCAATCTTTTTGAGCATGTGTAGTGTGTCAAACACTGTGCATAGTGGATATGAAGATGAGATTGGTTTTTGTCCTCAAGAGTGTCATAGTTTAATGAGAATTCAGATAAGAGCTGGTAGAAGTTCTGCACTGGGCCGAGGAGCAGTGAACTGTGCTTTGGTGTTGACAAAGCAGGGGCAGACTCCTAGAGGAGTCACTGAACAGTCGTAAAGGGTAAGTTTGGGTTTAAAGAGAAGGCTGAGGAGCTTATAGGAAACAGGCTGTACTCCAGTGCACTGTGCAAAGAGCACTAGAAACTAAAGAACGCTTCCCACCCCTTGCTAGTTAGTTGACTTGGAGTTTATCAGACTAGGGAAGTTGTAATAATGATTCCTGTCTAGCCTATCCAGTCGGATGCCTCTGAGAATCAAATATGAATGAGATGATAGATGTGAAAAATATAAATCACTGTGTAAGTACAAATGACATAATTTCCTTTTTTAAATTGTGATCTGGGTGAAATTTTACAGAGCAAATTGTTTTTCATAATTATCTTTTCTTAACGATTTTTGCACTTCTCCCTGTACCTTAAATACAGTGTTACTGTTGTTGTTAATGTGCCGTCAAGTCAGACCCGACTCATAGTGACTCCTCCTGGGGTTTCCGAGGCAGTATCCCTACAGAAGTAGATCGCCTAACCTTCCTTCTGAGGAGTGGCTGGTGGGTTTGAACTGCTAGCCTTCTGGTCAGCAGTCAAGTGCCTTAGGCACTATGCTACCAGAGCTCCTTTTAAGTACAGTAGCCACTTTGTAATTATTTGTTGGAGTTTCAGTCAGGATGACTGTGATGCATATTGAGGCTTCTGTGTCTAGTGCTGCAGGTAACATATTGTAGACCCCTTTCCTACAAAACTGATGATGTCTGGTTTATGCATCAGGACTGAGAGGCAGCTGGGATGCCCACCCCAATATGGCCAAACTCAAATGCAAAATGCTTATGATTTAAGTATTAACATTGGCCTCTGCAACAGGAGTTGTCCTGAGAATGTCCCTTTTTAGTGGGAAGAATCCTTATGTTACATTCCTATTTCACAGATGAAGTGGGAAGCAAAGCAACTTGAAAAAGACACAACCAAGTCAGGACAGGACCTTTGTCAAAACTGAAGCTTCCTTTGGGTTATGTCATTTTACTTACGACCTGAAAGTTTAAATCACAAGAGAAACAAAACCCTTAGAATAATGTAGATATGAATTTTTAAAAATATGAACTTGTATTCCTTTCAATTAAATGTATTTTAAATAGAAATAAAGGGGTTCAGCATATTTTTTGGAGGGAGTTTGTATTTGTTCAGATTTAAATGGAGATAGTGTCCCTCTCCTCTAGGCAAAAGTCATAGTTTTAGAGAAATAAGAGTAATCATTGGAGGCCTGGAGCTGTGATACTTGGAATTTCACTGGGGCCTTCTGTTGTTATGTGCTGTCGAGTTGAACCAACTCATAGCGACCCCTCCTTGGGTTTCCAAGGCAGTATCACTACGGAAGTAGATTGCCCCATCTTCCTTCCGAGGAGTGGCTGGGGCCTTCTAAGACATGGATTACTTGTTTTATGTGTTCTCTAGAGACTCGACAGCACATAACAAAACAACAACAGAAATTAGAGATAATATTTATTTTGAGAGCTGATTGTACTTAACAATGAGAGTCTGTATTCTGTTTCACTAATGTTCAGATTCAAAGTATGAAACCTTAAGAGAATCTTGTCTCAGTCATTTAGGTGGCAGTATTTAGCAGCGTCTAGGTAACCAAATTTGCTTTGCCTGTTCTAAAGATACAGCAACCGGAAGGCACACTGCATCGGACTGGCATGCTAAGTGGCTCTCCTGTGTCCAAGCCCTGCCTGTTTCTAAATTACCAGTTCTGTTTGACAGATAAAATCCAGGGCACTGGGCTGCACATGGAGAGCGCCATCCTTCATGGGAAGCTAGAGGAGCACGAGAAGGCCCTGCACATCCTGGTCCACGAGCTGAAGGACTTATCCGCAGCGGAAGACTACTGTCTGTGGAGCTCTGAGGGCAGGGACGGCCCCTACCGGCAGCGGCTCTTCCACACTCTGCTGGCCATTTACCTCAGCGCAGGCGCCTCTGACTGTGAACTGGTCGTAGCTGCCGTGGACCTCCTGAATCACCACGCCACAGAATTTGATGCATCACAAGTTTTGCAGCTGTTGCCTGACACCTGGTCAGTCCAGCTCCTCTGCCCCTTCCTTACGGGAGTCATGAGGCACAGTATCCACACGAAGAGGATGACTCAAGTGGCTGTAGGCTTGGCCAAATCTGAAAACTTAATCTACAGCTATGATAAGGTGAGTGTGTGGCCCTTTTGGACAAGCTAGCTTCTTAGCCAGTTGAAGGTAGATTTTACTTATGGAAAAATAACATTGTTAATTTTTTTTTTCTATGTGACTTGAATAATTGAAATATATGATTTTGTTCATATCGACTGTGGTAGAGTCAGAAGCTGGGCTGGCAGATGTATATTTTCTCCTCTTTCAATTGCCAGTGATCAAGAAAGTCATATGGGGAAGGCTAAGGGAAGGATGTTGTTGTATGCAATTTCAGTTCTGACAGTGACCCTGGAGGACAGAGTAGAACTGCCCCACAGGGTCTTCTAGGCTGTAATATTTATGGAAGCAGATCACCAGGTCTTTTTTTCCCATGGGTTTTAACAGCCAACCTTTCAGTTAGCAGACAGGTGCTTAAGCACTGTGCTACCAGGGCTACTTCACAGAATGGACAGTATCATGATACTGAGTACATAGTATGTGCCAGCCACTATTTTAGGCACTTAACATACATGATATAAATTCATCATCACAACAATTTTATGTGGTGTCTACTGTTGTTATTTCCATTTCAAAGAAGAGGAAACTGAGGCACAGAGAAGTCACACAGTTACTAAATGGAAGAACCCAGATAGGAATTCGTGACCAAGTCAGAGCTCTACATCCTTGGTCTATAAGCTGTTGTTGCCTCTGAAACTTCTTTCTTCTGTTGTTACCTCTGGAAACTTCTTTCTTCTGTTGTTACCTCTGGAAACTTCCAATCACATTACTCTCCCACTTCAAAGCCTTGTTTAACTTTTCATTGCCTGGGATATGCAGTCTGAACTCTTTAGACTGATCCTTATCTAGCCCATCTTTGTCATCTCTCACTGCTTCCTAGCACATGTTCTTGCTTGAGCCACAGGAAACCTCCTAGATGGGACATGCTAATTCATACCTCCTTACCTTTGTGTGTGCTATACCCTCTGCCGAAAACATTCTTACCTTTTCCTTCTGTGCCTGATGAACACCTACTCAAAATCCAACCTAAATACTTTTTTCTTTGTGAAAGTTCCTTGTAATACTTAAGCATAGTTAATCACCTCCTTTGCCTGCCAGTGTTTTTGCATACATTCGTATTTGTCTCCCTCTACTGCTAAACTTGGGGTCCCCTTTGTCACAATGAACTTCATTTATTCACCATAGTATCATTAGGGCCAAGACTGGCATATAGAAGGCATTTAATAAATGTTTGTTGAATGACTGTTGAAAGTAATGAATACATGATGAATTTAGAGTTGTTTCTCAGTCTACAAATACAGGGAGTTGCCTGGGTTTACAAAAGTAACTTGAACACTGGAACATTTTAACTTGTAAAATGTAAGTCCTACTGTTTTTCAGACAGGGACTGATGGAGTTATATCTCAGTTTTGTTAATTACCTCTAAAGAATTGAAATTATGTTTCTTAGGGGCCCTCAGGAATGTGCCAACAGCCATATGATTGACTCTCTTATCTGCACCTTATTCCTCTTGTTTGCAAATAAGAACTCCAAGGAATTAGATGACTTAATGGTCCCATTCACCTCTAAAAGCAGCTCTGGTGGCATAGTGGTTAAAGCATTTAGCTGTTAACCAAAGGGTTGGTGGTTGGAACCCACCAGCTGCTCCACAGGAGAAGGATGTGGCAATTTGCTTCCATAAAGATTTGCAGCCTATCGGGCAGTTCTTCTCTGTCCTATACGGTCACTATGAGTCAGAATTAACTCTACAGCAATGGATTTGTATTTTTTGATTTGGTATGTAGCTCTAACATTACATGATTTTATTACCAGCCTTTCTTAAAAATAACAGGGCTCAGAGAAGGATTGAGAAGAGGGCTTTAGAATGATATGTAAACAATATCTGACTTGGTCAGGCAAGCAGCAATTACTTTTGTAAAATAAAAAAGAAGCTTTGTAGTTTTTTTACTCCTCTAGTTACTTAGGAGAGGAGCCCTGGTGGTGCAGTGGTTAAGCTCTCAGCTGATAACCAGAAGGTTAACAGTTCAAACCCATCAGCCGTTGCATGGGAGAAAGATGTGGCAGTCTGCTCCCATAAATATCTGCAGCCTTGGAAACTTGTATGTGGCAGTTCTGCCCTGTCCTGTTGGGTCACTATGAGTTGGAATTAACTCGAAGGCAATGGGTTCAGATTAGTTACTAAGGATGATTTTGTTTATTTTTACTTCAGAATGCCTATGACAGTTTGAAGAAGTTAATATTAAAGCAATCCTCAACAGTAACAATAATCTACATTGTGGGGAGTGTGAACTCTGAAAAACTGGAAAATAGATACTTAAGTTATTACCATATTTGACAGAATTTTTGGTCTTTTGCAGATGAAGTTAAAAGGAAGCTCAATTCGTCTCTCAGACAAAAAGCTCTGCCAGATGTGCCAAAATCCGTTTTGTGAGCCTGTGTTTGTTAGATATCCAAATGGGAGACTTGTCCACACCCACTGTGCTGCAAGCAGACACACGAACCCAAACTCATCCAGCCCTGGCAACCGGACTTGAAAACAACCAGCCTGGGGATGTGAGGGTGAACTCCTAGCTCTTTACCAAGCCTGCTGGATGCAGAGCACGGAGAGTAGCTGTGCTTTGTGACAGCCAAGAGGAAGGGGTTACATCTTGGGTGCTGGGAGACTTCAGTCAATGTGAAACAGGGACTCTTTAACTGCTGACCACTTTATATGAATGTAATGGAAAATACCTTAAAATATGGAACATAGAGACATTCACCAGTTAACTTGCCCAGGTACATAGGAATAAAAAAAAAAAAAAGTTTCCTTTGAAAAAAAATGAGCCTTTGCTGTGCTATCCAGACACATTGGATTCCTCACAACCCCTGCACCCCTGTATCTTGAGATATGCGTTTGCACTGAAAACATTTGGCTTCCATGTGGCATGGAGATGAAGCCTCTTTTACCAGGAACTGGCCAGGGCACAGAGCCCTGCCGTGGGCAGGTTTCACTGGACACACCATTCCTTCCTCAATCCATGCATTCTCCATCCACACTCAGAGCCATGTGGGGAGTCCTTGTCCACTCTCCAGGATTACATGGTGGGCTCTTCCTTTGCCCTTAGAGATGGCTGACCTTAGGAAAGTATTTTTGTTCTTTTTTACTTCTCATCCATCCCTCATCTCTGAAAAGATTCTGCCTTGTTTACCCAAGCACTCACTTGGGGGTAAATTTGGATGCTTCCAGCTGCATAGCAATTGGAGACCTGTTAGAAACAATACAGAAAAGCTGCTTTCACAGTTTTGAAGGCACTAGCAGTGTCAGAAACAACACGGGGGCCAAGGGCCCCAGCTGTATGTCATTTCATCTGTTAGCTTGAAACCCCATGATTAACACCCCGAACCAAACCAAACCCACTGCCATTGAGTCAATTCTGACTCATAGTGACCCTATAGGACAGAGTAGAACTGCCCCATAGGGTTTCCAAGGCTGTGAATCTTTATGGAAGCAGACAGCTACATTTTTCTCCCAAGGAGCCATTGGTGGGTTCTAACCACCAACCTTGGAGTTAGCAGCCAAGAGCTTTAACCACTGTACCACCAGGGCTCCTTCATGATTAATACATTTGACTAAAAAATTTATTTGACCTTAAATCATATTTGTATATTTCCTCTTGTTAAGAAATTCATCTGTCCTATTCATTAGAGATAATTTTTCTTATCAAAATGTACCTCCTATTCAGTACTTGGGAAATTTAAAAGGGAAATATTGATGAGCACAAATGAAATGTCTTCACGAGAGGCCCGTTTTAACCTCACACACTCAGCAGGGTGGGCAGTGTGGTGAAAGCTACCTTTCCACAAGTGATAGAGAAGCTGTCTTTCCTGATGGCGCTTGTGCACACTGTTTGAAGGAAACCCAGTTAGGCTGCCTTACCTCACAGTGCTCTGCAGGCCTGCTCTGTAGTTTACTGATAACAAAAAGACACCTCTCATTCATAACGGATCGGGAATTCATCCTGTGTTTCTGCATAACATTGGTAATAAGTTGAAGCTGCTGTTATTTCACTGCCCTGTTTTGAATTTATTCATTGTAATTAATTCTACTAGGAACTAATAATAAAGAAGCTATACACCTTATTGGATTGCTTAGAAAGCATTAGCTTGTATGTGTGACAAGATAACCCTGGAAAACACCCTCTCTTCAGCCTGCTTCTTAGGTAGGGTGAAGAGCTCATTCCCCTTCTTTTAAAAATAATGGTCAATATTTTTTTCCTTTTGTAACTCTTAAGTGGTCCAAGAAGCCAAGTGCCAATGCATTGTTTGAGGAAATTGGCACCATTGTTTCCCATGTCTCCATTACCTAAAGAATAAATGATTGTGAAATTTTTCTTGTAGCTCAACAGTATGTTGTGTAAGTTGGTATGAATCCGAAGCCTTGTTTTACTCCATGGATGACTCTGTTACAGGGTGGACATGTAATAGATCGCCTGTGTTATCATTACAACTTGTGAATTTGAGTTTATGTTCCTCAAAGAACAAGTTCCCTTTTATATAGCACTGCACTTTTAAAAGCACTGTTTCTCTATACACACAATGGGTAAACGTTTATAAAAAGCCTTGTGATTGCTCATTCCTAACTTGGGGACACTATTCCTTGTTTTCCACCGAACATTGATCACTGTTTTGAAATGTCTGCCATCTTCTAGAATAATGAGAGCTAAAGTTGAATGGTTTTCCATCTCCCCTGCATTCATTTAATACAAGCAGAATTTTGTGACAGTGTGGAGGATTATCTTATATGTTAAAAAACCAGAATCTTTCTATAACCTTTCTCTAACTCACACAAAGCCCTTTTCTCAAATAATATTTTTAAAAGAAATAGGTGGTTCTTTCTAACAGACCTGCTGTTTTGTGACTGTGCTGTTCAATAAAGCGATTAGAACCATTACTCAGCCCCTTGTCCCCCCATTAGGTTCAATGTAAGCATTCTAGTTAAACCGCATGAATTAAACTGAATTTACATTAATGTTTTGTGGGCAACAGTATTTAATTTTATGAACTGTTTATCTGCTGTTGTCCATCGAGGATTAATGTAAAAGTGTCAGTTAGGCTGTAGAGCATTGGGTCTTAACTCTGCTGTAAAGCTCATGCTGATAGCTTAATAAAATGTGCTTGCTGACTTCAACGTTGGAGGGAGGCAAAGGTAGTCGTAGTGCCACACTGTTAAACTGATGCCTCTTTCGCGATTAGGGTAGCCTTTGCTTTGTGCTTGCTCTCCCATGGAAATCTTTGTCCTTGCAGCTTTATTCTGTGCACCTGATTGGGTCCCAAATACACAAAATGTACAAATGTAAACTTGTTCATTTTATTAAAATCCTTTCAATTCTTTGTTCTTTCTGTACTTTTTTTTGCACCCCTCCCCCAAATAAAAATAACCCTGGTGAAGTACTGGTTTCCACTCACATGGCACCTACATAATAGTCTAAGGAGTTGTATAACTTAGCCATCTGTATAGCTCAGTTCCTTCAGCACCTACAGAGGACTTTCATTTGTCATCTTAAATCCTTTGTTAATGCTTTCCTCAATTTTAATGTATTCACTTCTTAATTTATCTACTGTATGAAGGTTCTTTGTTGAATTCTTGTTGAGACATTTAACACAGGAGATTTCTGGTTACTTCTCAGATCACCTTTTAGCCAAATACTCTTTGATAAGCTTGTTGCTCTTGGAATTCTAACTCAAAGTATTCAAGGAATATAATGATTTTTTTTTTCTCACTTGTAAAAATTTTACTCTGTTCCTTAAACCTTGTTCATAGCAGGTCTTTGAGAAAACCTTGTTGGATGGATTTCACAGCACTTTCACATGTTTTTTTTTTTTCATTCTAGGTGCTATACTTGCTGTTAGATGCTGTCGAGTCAGTTTCCAACTCGTAGTGACCCCATGTGACAGAGTAAAACTGCCTGTAGGGTTTTCTAGGCTGTAATCTTCATAGGAGCAGATTGCCTGGTCTTTGTCCCATGGAACAGGTGTGAGAGTTCGAACTGCCAACCTTTCAGTTAGCAGCTGAATGCTTAACTGTTGTGCCACCGGGGCTCCTTTGTGCTATAGTGTTGTTGTTGTTGTTATGTGCCGTCAAGTCGGACCCAACTCATAGCGACTCCTCCTTAGGTTTCCAAGGCAGTATCACTATGGAATTAGATTTCCCCATCTTCCTTCCAAGGAGGGGCCGGCGGGTTTGAACTGCTAGCCTTCTGGTTAGCAGTCAAGTGCCTTAGACACTATGCTACCAGAGCTCCTAAAAGGGAAGTTAACACAGATGAGATCCCCTGATGAGTCTCAATCTATTGTGCATGCCAGTTGGATGTATTCTGCATATAAATGTATGTGGGGGATAATAGAGGTAGGACATCATAAGTCATCCTCATTTCAAATAGAAGCAATGAGGGCACAGGGTATTTGTGTGAATCTGCAGATTTCCTGGCCTGGTGCGTCACCAACCAAAAGAGAGAAAACCAAAACCCTCCTGAGTCTTTCAACCCAGGATTCACTCCAACAGTAGAGTTGCTGCTTTCAGAAAATCATAGAACAGCAACTTTATGTCCTTTTCTCATTCCTGTCTCATTGATAGCCTGCAAAGAGAGAGATTTGGGATACATTGAGAATAGTACAAAAAAGACAGAAGACAAGGCCAACTGGCTGAGAGAAAAAGACTGTAAATTGATGTCTTAAATGTGTCTGTCAGTAGAGGCAAAGACTGCAAAGACTGGCGTCTGACTCAGTTAAATGGGCTGTGACTTGTGTTAGGAGTAATTAGATATTAACTAACACCCCATTTGCTCTTAACAGATCTGTCAACCTTAGCGTTTGAAATGAAAATGTACAAGAATCCAGACCATATGGACCAAAGGCCCTTTCACCTTCTCAAAAAAGCTAAATGGCTAGAGCACCATCTAAAAGCTTGTTAACACGTTGTTCAGAGATAAGCACTTGAATTAATGAAGCCTGATTTTCTTTAGCTTGCAACCAGGGAAGGGAAACAAATAGCTGTAATTCAGTCTGCCGTCTGCAGAGTCGTAAATTAGTTAAACAAGATCACATGGCACAAAGAGATTACAAAGCAACACACATAACTCAAAAGGCCAGTTATAACTTCAGAAGGTGCAGTGTCACTGGGTGTAGGGAAACCTGGCCCCTATCACACTCTTGACACTCAACTGTGGTCCTGGGCAAGTCCTGGGAATTTTTTATTTTTTGGTACATACATAGCACATGTATGATGTTAATGTGTAAAGGTTTGTGGGTTGCGGTGTTTGAAAAAGCCCTGCGTGTTATTTGCATAAAAATATGATCGTATTCCCCTCGACCTTGGTGCTTTTATGTAATATCTAGAGGTAAGGCTATGAGTCAGGTCCGACTCGATGGCACATAACAACAACAAAAACAATAGAAGTAAGGCTAAGTGGTATCAGATCCCTCCAGATGCAAACCCAAGAAGGGGAAATGCGGCCAGGAGGAAGCAGCCAGTTTATGGGAATGGTCTTGGCTTTTTTTT